AATTATGTGGATTGGAAACGTGATTTGATTTTTACAAAGCGGGATGAACGTGGATGTAGGAGATGCTTCACAGCGTGAGACAAAAGTGTTCAAGCACCGGTTGGTGGAACAAAGATAACTGAGCTAACAACAATCACCAATCAAATACCAAACTAAACCAATTAAAGAACAAACTAATGTATATGGAAAAAAACAAGATCATATGTATAGAGTTTCCAAGACCATTTGCATTATCAAGGAACAAGAGCTCAAGCGTCAAAAGTCCAAGAAGCCTTTTCAGTTACAAAGAGGGTCTACTTATAGTGCTTTGGCCGACTTGGTGTACTTTGGATCAGAACCACGTGGCATCATCTCCCTGACAAAGACTTCACATCACTCTCTATCATACAATAAATATATTGACAACGGGTTAGTCACCCTATACATTAAGCTAACACACCTAACATTCTTTATTACAAACCTTACATCAATCATTCTTAAAAATTGTCTACAGATCTTGTAAGAGACAGCTTCAGCTCCATGAGCTTTGGATGAATGAGGTCCTTTATTGGATGAGGCTTTCTATTAGTCCTCTGTGTGAAGAGTTTCGACTTCTTCCATTTCTTTATGTAGCGCTTTGGACTCACGCCTTCAGCCGTTTTGGCAATGCTTCCATATAAGAGCTTTAGCCATTCATATGATTTCTTTACATTTGATCAGTCGGTCTTTGTTGACTTTCCTGCCTACATGGATTGCTACGTGGCACTTTGGTTTGAGCATCGATGGCGAGGCGTAACAGTATTGATACTATCCTTAAAAAATCAAGGCCTTGATAGAAATGTGGTTCCCTAGAAACCTATGGAGGTATAAATCCTCGCCGTACGGGTGGCAGCTTATAAATGCCTTCACTTCTTCAAAATTCTCAAAGGGGAGAAGATGTTCCAATGGATAGAGGAATGCAAAGAGACATGCCCACTCCTCTTTAAACTCAAAGCTGACGATCTATAAATATTTTATTTGGTTTAAGAGGCCATTAGTTTAGAGGGAAGCCCGCTACCCAGACATGGAAAAGCTCATGGTTGCCTCCCACTCCATCGAAGAAGGCCACGGATGGCTAACGATTTGTCCTAGTGTATAGGAAATGAGCTTACGTGAACGTAAATGGACTTGGGATTTGTTGGCCACGTCAGAGGTACATTTTTCGATATCAGCTACTTTCAAGTACGAATTCACCATTCTAAAACCCTAATGCTGGGCCAATGCTTGATAATTTAATCCAAGAATCACCATTTACCCCTAATTCCTTTGTAACCCATATGTCAGAAATTTTGTCATCTTGTTTTAGATGATAAACAATCAATGCAATGGATTATTTGTACAGAAAAATAGCCGTTGTATTCCTATGTTGTCCCCCAAAACTTCAATATCACATGGTAATAGTGTCTTTTGGAAAATCTCTTTACCCATGTCAAATGAA